GAGAGAGAGAGAGAGACACATACACACAGGTAGACAGACAGACAGACAGAGAAAAAAAGAAAGCCAGCTGGCCCTTGTTTGGTTTCCGCAAAAGCCCTGTCTCTTTAAGTCTGCGCTGGGAGGCCGGGGCGGCCAACTTTTAATTGTGCACACACAGGATTTTTGGAGCCCGCCCGTGCTCTGCCAACACGCCCAGACCCTGTTTTCTTTCCTTAGAGGAGAAGCTTCTGCAGCCCTGGGGAGGACGGACAGCCCCGTCACTAGGGCTCGGGACTTGGGAGGCAGCAGCCTCTCTGAGAGCTGGATCCTTTTCTTTGCTCTTGGGGACTGGAGGATTTTCTAGGAACATTTGCATTTGCCAGAGCCTCTGAGGGGAGAGGACGGATTTCTGGGCCATTTCTCCTTGTGAATGGGTGAAGTCCAAGTCACAGAGCTACAGAGACATTGGCAGCAGGACCCTGAGCCCCACAGACCTCCCAGCTTGGAGGGGTTGACACTGGCAGCAATGTGGAGAAGACAGCTGGACGTGGGGGCGCATGGCCATCATCCCTGCACTCCAGAGGCTGAGGCAGGAGGATCTCTGAGTTTGAGGTCAGCCTGGGCTACACAGAAAATTCAAGGCCAGCCTGAACCACATAGTGAGACCCTGTCAAAAAAAAAAAAAAAATCAAAAAACAAAAGATGATGCAAGCTTTGCTGCCCCGTGTTACAATGTGAGAGACAGAATCCATTCTGTAAAAGGACCACAAAGGAGATGACCCAGGAAGCGGTTTGGGGTGTGTGTGGGGATGAAGAAGTTGCTTTCATCTATCAGGGGGTGAAACGTGGGGGCAGAGCCACCGGGAGGACGCAGCTCCTGTGCACGTGGCTTCCACTGAAAGGGAGACTCGCCATGCCAGTGAAGTCCGGGCTGGGCCTGGGCCGCCCTCCCCCACGGATGATTCAAGCACCCGATCTCCATCTCTCCCCTCCGCCCTCCTCCGCCCTAATTGCCGGCTGACTGTTCTCTGTGTTCTTCCTCAAACCCACACCCGCCCCTCGGTCGCCAGTGCAGGCATGAACTGAGCCTGGGCTTTGAATCAAGGTCCTGGGAAAAGAAGCCCGGCTCCATGCTGGGGGCCCCGGGCGGCGAGGTCCCCAGAGAAGCAGAGGCGACATCGGGGCCGGGCAGCCAGCCGCGGAAGGGCCGCGAGAGCAGAGCACAAGGAGGGGGCGGCCGCTCGGCCCTGGGGGCTGGTGGCCTGGACACACTGCCAGCTCCTCCCCGTTATTCCTCAGCGGAGGATGACGCTGCACTCTCATCATCGGACATCGGGGCAAACTGCAACGAGAGGTGGGACGCGCTGGCCGGCGGGCCTGGTGCTGGGGACATCGTGAGCCACTCTGGGGGTCACAGGCCCTGGCCTCGCGCAAAGGATGCGTCCAGGGGCGAATGGACAAGGGCGACCTGCATCCTGCATCCCACTTCCGGGCGCGGGTGCCCACGGCGACCACGCTGCCGCACCTGTCACTGAGCCAGGAGGGCCCCCCCCCCGCAGTCGCCCAACCCCCAGCCCCAGGCTCACCGAGCACTTGATGTTCAGGCGCGAGTACAGCATGGACGCGATCTCACTCTGCCCCGCGTCCAGCGCCACCATGAGCGCGGTGCTCCCGTCCTGCAAAGGAGCCCATGCTAGGCGCGGCCCTGGCCCTGGTCTGCCCCCCCCCCCGGGCGGGGCCGGCACTCACGCGGTCCGTGAGCGAGATGTCGCAGCTGGGCACGGCCAGCAGCAGCCCCGCGATCTCCTTGTGCCCGTGCTCGCAGGCGCACATGAGGGCCGTGGAGCCGTCCTCGTCCTGCACGTTGACGTCCGCCTCGCAGGCCAGCAGGGCTCTGACCACGTCCACGCGGCCGTGGCTGACGGCCAGCATCAGGGCTGTCTGTCCCGCCTAGGCAGGGCGGGGAGCGTGCTTACAGCCCGCACGGGACCAGGGTGCGCTGCCCCGCGCCTCGACAGTCTATGGCTCCCCAGTACCCCGCCGCAGGCAGGCAGGCACACAGCCATGTGCTGGAGTGTGAACAACCTTTCCGCCTCCCGGCCTTCACCGGGGCTGGCCCTCTCCCTCCTCCCTGCCCTTCCTCTGTCTTGGCTTTGTTCTTTTTTTGTTTTTTTTCTCTCTTTTTCTTTATTTTTTTATTTTATTTTATTTTATTTTTTTGGCGCAACTGGCAGTTACACTCAGGCACTTGCCAGGCAAGTGCTTATTTTACTGAGCTGTCTCCCCTGCCCTGGTTTTGTTGTTTCTCAAGATAGGGTCCTGTATGTAAATCAAGCCTCCTGATCTCACGATGAAGCCCCAGGCTGGCCTGGAATTCACTGTGAACCTCTGGTCTCAGCCTCTGAATGTGGTTATTCTAGGTGTGCACCACCAGGCCTGTGGATTTTTTTTTTTTTTTTTTTTTTGGCGGAACCAGGGATTGAACTCAGACCCTTGCACTTGCCAGGGAAGCGCTCATTCTACCGAGCCATCTCCCTGGCCCTGGATTTTTAAAAATTGTTTATTCATTTATTTTTGGTACCATCTTTCCTTTCTTTTGCAGTATTGGGAGGATGAATCTGTGGCCATCACACTGAACTACATCTTCATCCTCAGCCTATACACATAATTTTGTCTTCTTCTTTTTTTTTTTTTTTTACTGTGAGACAGGACTAAGTCACTAAATTGCCCTGGCTGGCCTTGAACTTGTGACCCTCCTGCCTCGGCCTCCCAGAGTGCTGGGAGTAATGGGTGTGCAATGCTACGCCTGGCTCACTGGCTTATCATCACTCAGGTGTATCAGTTCATTGTCGCCTATTAGGAGAGGCTCTACTTTGCCTACAGCTTCTGCCCCAATCATCTACAGCGGGTTCTTCACTCCCCACCTGAAAACTTATCCAACTCAGATCTGTATACTTTTATACTGATCAGCTGTGCCTCAATAAAAAGTTAAGGGCCGGGGAGATGGCACAGTCGAAAAAGTGCTTCCCTGGCAAGCACAAGGGACAGAGTTCAATCCCCGGTTCCACCAAAAAAAAAAAAAAAAAGTTAAATCAACGTCCATTGGGGATAAATGAATAAAACACGGTGTGGCATATCCATGCAATGGAATATTATTCAGCCATGAAAAAGACTACTGTTATACAGTATCCTGAATAAATGGCTTTGAAAACATTACACTGAGTGAAAGAAGCCAGGCACAAGAGGCCACATATTGCCTATGAATGTCCTTTGGTGCCTGCAGATGACAGGTTCCTGGACATCTGGCAGATACTAACATTCTGGGAGGCTCAAGTCTCTGGTATACCACAGTGCAACTTGCACAGAATCTGTGCACATCTTCCCATAGACTTTAATTCATCTCTGATGACTAACACCTGAGACAAGCCAGATGTGGTGGTGCACGGCCACAACATAACCCTCAGGAGGCTGAGGCAGGAGGATCGCTGTGAGTTCAAGACCAGCATCGAGGGCCAGGGAGATGGTTCAGTAGAATAAGCGCCTGCCTGGCAAACACAAGTTCCTGAGTTCAATCCCTGGTACCGCAAAAAAAAAAAAAAAAAAAGACCAGCTTGGATTATAGCGAGTTGAAGGCCAGTCTCAGCTACACAGAGACCCTGTCTTGAAAAATTAGAAAAAAATAATCGGGAGTGCTGGGCATATCCCACTGATGTGAAACGTCCTGAGTCCACAGGGCAGGAATTTGGGGGTGACGAAAATGTCCTGAAAGGAGCTGGAGGTGGCGGCTGCACAATTACGAGGGCACTAAATGCCACTGACTGCTTCACACTGAAAGGGTCGAGCTTGTGTCACGTGCCGTTCACCTCGGTGAAAAGCAGGAGGGCGGAAAGGGTTTTAATTACACAAATACAAAATGAAAAGTGGGACTGGGTGTGGTGATGTTTCTGTAATTCCCTCACTTGGGAGGCTGAGGCAGGATTGTGAATTGGAGGCCAGTCTGGGCTGTGTGGCAAGAAAGGGAGGAGGAGGAGGGAGCGGAAGGAGGGAGGCGGGGGAAGGAGAGGGAGAGGAGGGAGGCCGGGCAGGAAGATTCCAAGGTCAGGCTTAGTGAGGCCAATTCAGTGTCTGAGGGAGATGGTGACCCAGCACAGCGTGGGCCTGGGCAGCGTGAGCCAGGGTCGCCTGTCTCATACCAGCACAGACTGGCCTCGAACTCACAACAATCCTCCTGCCTCAGCCTCCCGAGTGCCAGGATCACAGGTGTGCACCACCATGCCTGGCTCAAATCCTTCCTCCTCGACTCTGAACTTGAGGCAGTGACACCGCCTCCTGAGCCTCAGTTTCCCCGTCTACACAGCAATGGAGCTGGCAGACAGCTTGGATTTTGTGTGTGTGGGGAAGCACCGTACGGGTCTGGTCGGGGTGGCCGAGGGCCGCCTACCTGGCTGGCCTTGGCGTCGACATCTCCGAGCCGGAAGAGCTGAGTGACAGTCTCGATGTCATCCTGGGTCTTCAGCGTGGCCAGCGCGGTAAGCATGAGGGGGCTGTAGCCGGCACGGTTCTGCCGGTCCACCTGGCAGACGCCTGCAGAGGGAGGCCCGCATGAGTCCCCAGCTGGGCTATGGCTCTAACCTGGGACCACGGGGAGGGGCGAGACCCTCTCCTCCCTCAGCTTGGCCTGACCTGACTCTCCAGTCCTCAGATGGGGAGCCTACTCCTTCCCGGGAGGTCTGCGTAGAGCTCTACCCCGCATGCACCTCTACAGGCTTGGGGGCTGGGCGCAGGGGCATCCACATTTAGTGGTTAAGACTAGGAGCTAGGCTGGGCATGGTGGGGCACACATCCAGCACTTGGGAGGCTGAGGCAGGAGGATCTCTGTGAGTGGCAGGCCAGCCTTGGTCTGTTTAGCCCTGAGACTGGCTGGAGCCTGCTCCATCAGACTGAGGGCCACCCTGGCAGGAGAGCAGCTGTCCTGCGCAGGCCCCGCCCCAGCTCACCGCTGTCCAGCAGCTGCCGCACCACGGGGAAGTTGGCATGTGACACGGAGTAGTGTAGCGCGGTGTTGCCGTTGCTATCGGCGATGTTGACCACGTAGTCCAGCAGCCGTGCCGACACGGCCCGGAAGGTGACCAGGTGGCGCCGCACAAGCTCGGGGTGGGCATCGCTGCGGCAAGCCAGGCGCAGCCACTCCTGCAGCACCGTGGTGTAGGCCACTTTCTGGGTGGGTCAGCAGGGGAGGGGCGTGAGGGGTGCAGCTCACCCTTCCAGATGAGCCGCAGGATGGAGGGTGGACACCCCACCCCCAGGGGCCCCAGAGAGCAAACTGGGGCAAACCGGTCCTGAGCAGGCCCTGGAGGGAAGTGTGGAAGACCCTTGATGCTGGCTGGGCAGGGAGGCTGAGGCAGGAGGATCTCAAATTCCAGCCCAGCTTGGGTAACTTAGTAATTTAGTGAGACCCACAGAAAGGGCCAGGGATAGAGCTCATAGCAAAGGCCCTGGGCACAATCTCAGCACATCCAGAAATAAAATCTATAAAAGAGTACTCCAGGGAAATGCAGACAATGCAGAAGGGGCCCCCGGGGCTCTGTCCCTCACTCCATCCACCCAGCCTGAGGCCCTGGGGGGGCAGGGGTGGTCATGGCCTGCCCCTACCAGCTCCCGTTCGGTGAGCGCGTTGGCATTGCCCAGGTACTTCTCCAGCGCCAGGCAGGCCGAGATGAGGTCAGGGCTCAGCTCCATCCTGCAGGGGGCGGGCGAGAAGGTGTCTCTGTCCACTTGGTGCTGGGAACGGAACCCAGGGCCTCCCGCCTGCCGGCCAAGCATTCACTCCTGAACTGCACCCCCAGTCCTTGTTATATATTTCATTGTTATTTTCCCCGATTTATTTTCTTACGAGAAAGGATCTCACTATGTAGCCTCGAACTCACTATATAGCCTGGGCCACCTTGAACTCATGGGGATCCTCCTGCCTCAGCCTCCCCAGTGGCTAAGATTACAGGCGGCAGCTACCATGCCTGGCAAGTTTATCTCAGCAGCAAGCCCTGGGCCTCCTGGGTACCCCTCCACTTGCATCCAGCTGGGGTGCTTGCGCGGGGCTCAGGGCTCCCCTCTCTGATGTGTGTGGCCCCGTTCACTGGAGTATCACAGATGCCCCTATGCCAGGGCCGGGCTTCCACACCACACCCCAGGCACAGACGGCGGAGGGGCACAAATACCAACAGGACTTGTGCACAGGCCAGTTTATTCCAGAAGGCCAGTGGGGGCGGGAAAGTCTTGCATTAATGCAGACCACAGCGTGTGACTGGAACCAGGTGGGGGTGGAAGGCAGCGTCTCACCCTCCCACCCAGAAGACTGACCGGATCTCGTCCTCCGAGTTGGTGCCCGCTGCCCCCTCCGCCACGGGCACATGCGGGGCCTCCCGAGACAGCTGGCACTCCAGCGGCCGGCTGGGCTGGGCTGCTGCCGCCTCGGTCCCCGGGGCCCTGTGCTGCAGGGTTCCGGCTGCGCTCGGAGCCCTCTCTTCCCGCTCAGGAGCCTCATTTTCCGTGCTGTCGTTGTCCGAGAAGGTCTCGGCTGTGCTGGAGCCTTCGGAGGACGACTCGTACCTGTGCAGGTGTGCAGGACAGAGGTGGGAGATACACTGTGGGAGGGAGGGGACCCAGGGGGGTGGGAAGGGGCGCCTGCGGGCCTGCCCTCCCTGGGCCTCAGTGTCCCCATTTTTTTTTGGCAGAACCAGGGATTGAACTCAGGCCCTTGTGCTTGCCAGGGAAGTGCTTATTCCACTGAGCCATCTCCCTGGCCCCAGTGTCCCCCTATGTTAGATGGGGAAGATGGCAACAGGGACCACAGGGGGCTGCAGATGCGCCTCAGCATCACCCCAGCTAGTGCTCACTGAGCGTTAGGCGCCAGACACTGAGGCACATGCCTTGATCCCAGCGCTCAGGAGGCTGAGGCAGGAGGGTGTCTGAGGCCAGCCCTGTCTCAAAGAACAAAAAATAATCGTTAGCTGGGACTTGGATTATTCAGGTGGTGGGGGATGCTGGGGGCCTCCTGCCCCACCCCTCATGTGGTACTTCCTAAAGTTGACTGATGCCCCACCTCCCCCAGGACCCTCTTTAAAGAAAAAAAAATTTTTTTTAAGTGTTAGGGATTGAACCTAGGGCCTTCATAATGATGTGGGGATGAACTACATCCCAGGCCCTTTTCTAGTTTCAGTTTCTGAGGTCTCACTTTATAGATCAGAGGCTGGCCTTGAGTTTACTATGTAGCCCATGCTGGTCTCAAACTTGTGGTGATCCTCCCGCCTCAGCCTCCTGAGTGCTGGGATCACATGTGTGCACCACCAGTCCTGGCTCTGAATATGGTTTCATTCACTGAATTAACAAAAATGAAGGCTGCAGAACAGGGGGTTGGGTCCCCTCTTTCTCGTGCCCGCGGGACCTGAGGGACACACAACAACTGTGGCATACGGGGGCTCCTTACCCGCCATTGACCCCCACGAACTGCAGGCTCCTCCTGTGGGCTGAAGGGTCTTCAGGCTCCTCCCTCTTACTGCTGGAGCACACCCCTGCCTGGGCTCCGCCTGGAAGGGACGCAGTGACAGGAGGGTCCCTGGGCCGATGCCCTGCCGGACGGCCGCCCTGCGTCCCGAGCCCCTTGGTGGCCACGGCCACTCACCTGCTCCCCCAGCCTCCTGGGATGTCTGGGATGCCTCCCTGGGGGGCTCCCTGTCAGCAGGGTCAGAAGTGGCCACCTGGCTTGCTGGAGGGGAGGAGGCTGACTCCGCGGGTGCCGGTGGGGGGCCTTAAGGGACACAAAAGGAAGCATCACACGTGGGACAGCCAGATGACAGCACTGCTAAGCGCCGCCAAGCCCATGGCTCAAATCTGTCTCTGAGGGCTCAGATTATTATTGAGGAGGAAACTGAGAAGTTTATTAGGGACCAAGTGCTGAGCTGGGCACGGTGGTGCACGCCTGTCATCCCAGCACTCAGGAGGCTGAGGCAGGAGGATCGCTGGGAATTCAGGTCTGCCCGTACTACACAGTGAGACTCTATCTCAAAATAAACAAACACTGAACTATATGGTGTTAACATGTGAACTCCTCAGATTACAAAGTACTGGTCTTTGCAAGGCTGGACCTGTTTTTCTTTTGGGGTGAAATGAAACTTGGGGCTGCTCCAATTTATTTAATTCATTTTCCCCTACACTACTCAGAAGTTAAAGCTGAGCATGGTGGTGCACACCTCTCAAATCCCAGCACCTTGGGAGGCTGAGTCAGGAGGATCCAAAGTTCAAGTCCAGCCTGGGCAATTTGTCAAGACTGTTGCAAAATAAAACTAATTTAAGAAGTACTGTGGCTGGCCTTGGGAGGCTGAGTCAGGAGGATCCTAAGTTCAAGTCCAGCCTGGGCAATTTGGCAAGACTTGCAAAATAAAACTATTTTTAAGAAGTGCATTGGGGGGGGGGGCTGGCGAGATGGCTCAGTGGTCTAAAGCACTTACTTGAAACAAGCTTGGCAAAGCACAGGGACCGCGGTTCAATCCCTCAGCACCACATGCCAGCCAGCCCCGCCCCCTGGTGGGCTGAGCTGGCCACACACACACACACACACACACACACACACACACACACAATAAAAATAAATAAATGATAAAAAAAAAAAAAAAAAAAAAAAAAAAAAAAAAAAAAAAAAGAAGAAGAAGTGCATGGGGCCAGGGAGATAGCTCAGTAGAATAAGTGCTTGCCTGGCAAGCGCAGGGTCCTGGGTTTGATCCCCGGTCCCAAGGGTGGGGAAGAAGTGCTGTGGCTGGGCTGGGGAGACAGCTGACGGTCGGAGTGCCTGCCCAGCAAGCGCAAGGACCTGGGTGTGATCCCCGGTACCGCATGCTGTGCTGGGCCCTGAACTCTGGCTGCGTCCCTGCGTTCCAGCCCACTACTGCACAAATGTGCTACAAAATAAACCACAAAGCAGGATGCAGCCTCTTTGCCCGTCTGGAATCAGCTCCGGACTCCCAGGCTGAGTTCCAGGCTGAGTTCAAGCTGGGCTCTAGACCCAGCCCTGGCGGCCGCGCCCTGCTCTGGGCAGCTCTCGAGACCAAGTGGCTGTCGCTGCCCCACCCCGTCTGTCTGTGACTGTAACCAGGGTGCAGGTTCCTGCTCCTTGCTGCTGAACTTGAAGTAGAGACTGCACATGCCAAAAAAAAAAAAATGCAAGCCATGAAAGGGATGTAGGGTACATAGCTCTTGCTGGGTGTGGGGGTCCACGCCTGTGGTCCAACTATTCGGGAGGCTGAGGCAGGAAAATCACCATGAGTTTGAGCTCAGCCTGGGCTATACGGCCAGACTCTGTCTCGAAACCACAACCACAAAATTCATTGGTCTTTGGTCTTAGTGGACAGTACAAGGGGTGACACGGAAGCTACAGGTGGGTGGGGGCACCTGACTGGATCTAGAGGCTCAGGCAGCCAGGTGGGCTGGGAAGTGGTCACCGACTCTCTGCTTTGGCCTGCTGGGGGCTCCCCACGGTGGCCCAGCCCAGCTTAGCCAGGGGAAACCCGTGGGCACTGTGACCAGGACAATACCTTTGTGCTCAGACCAGCCAGGGTGGCTTTTGTGTGTAGGGGGATTAGAACAGACATGGTTATAAAGTTTAACATTTTATTTTGTTGCAACAGGGACTCGCTCTACAGCGCAGGCTGTGCTTGAGCTCACTATGAAGCCTGGGCTGGCTCGGAGCCTGTGGTGATCCTCCTGCCTCAGCCTCCCAGTGCTGGGACAACAGGCACACACTACCATGGGCAGCTCCTGCCCAATTTTATAAACATAGGCAAAAATCCTTTGATTTTGCTATCTGAGGGGGCGCCAGGAGCAATTCCCAGAGATACCAAAGGACCGCTGTGTTTGTTGTTATTCTACAGGGAATGGGGAAAACTGACAGCAAAATTTATATGGAGGAACTAAAGCTCAAGATGAGCTAAGATATCTCTTTCTTCTTTGAGACAAGAGTCTCACTCTGGAGCCCAGGCTTGCCTCAAACTCGGGTGTTCCTCCTGCCTCAGCTAGGATAACCAGCGTGCCTCAGCACACTTAGCTAAGTTTTAAACAGAACAGACTGGGCCTGCTCGCCATCCCATCTACTTGGCGGGCTGAATGAAACCGGAGGAGTTCCGAGAGTGTGAGGCCAGCCTGAGTTACATAGCAAAATTCTGTCCCCCGCCAAACAAAAACAAAAACTATGCTGGAGGTCGACGCAGGAAGACCACAAATTTGAGGTTACTTTAGTAAGACCTTGACTCAAAAAATCAAAAAGAATCCTCAAAGTATGAATCATATACGAAAAAAAATGAAATAGATTTAACTATATCCAAAACAAAGATTTCTATTTGATTAAAGAAATAAACTCTCACAAAGTTCCTCCATAGAGGTCGCCTGTGGAAGAACACAGGCGGGGGCTGGGGGTCCGTGGTGAGCACTTGCCGGGCGTGCAAGAGCCTCTGGGTTCCATCTCCAGTGCAACAAAGAAAGGGCAGGGGGTTCTTATTCTGTCTCTCTGTCTCTGACCAGGGATCGAGCTCGGGACCTTGTGCTTGCCAGGCAGGTGCTTCTGCCAGAGATAAATCCCAGCCCAGGATTTTTATTTTTTGAAACAGGGTCTCGCTATGTAGTACAGGCTGGACTTGAACTCTCAGCAGTCCTCCTGCCTCAGCCTCTCCAGAGCTGAGCTTACAGATGTTTTAACTGTTTTGAAGCGCCAGGGTGGACCCCAGGGCCCTGTGCGTGCACCCGAGGGCTTGGCCTCTCGCCATGCCGGTAGGTTTTACAGTTTCTGTGGTTAAACAGAGCGGGTTGTGCGGCTCTGTGGGCGCTCACTCAGCAGACCCAAAGCCCTGGGTTCAATCTCCAGCCTTGCAATGACACATAGAAAACGCAATTGAGAAACCTGAACAGAGCCACATTTTGTGGCTTGAGAAAAATTCAGATGAGTTGGCACAGGCCACTCATTTACATGAGGTCTCGCTCTCTGGCCTTAAAATAGCAGACACTGAAACTTCTGACATCTGATGGCCCTGAACAGGAAAGGTGCGCAGACGCTTGTCCAAGCAGGGGCTCCCATCAAGGCCAGGTGCATCAGCATACACCTTTTGGGAGGCCGAGGCAGGAAGATGACCTCGAGTTTGAAGCCAGCCTGGGCTACAGAGCACAAAATTAAAAACAAAACAAAAAAACAGTAATAAGCATTTGCTGCCCAAGCCATATACAAAGCGGGCAGGCGGCCAGCTCTGCCTAGCGGCCACTGTCCACTAACCCCAGTGGGAACCTGCTGGGAACAGCTGGAAACTGCTCGCAGGAAAATAGACAAAGGCTACAATGAAGTCTCACAGAGCAGTCTTAGTAAGCATAGAAGGAGGTGGTCAATTTCTCCACGAGAAAGAAATGCAAATTAAACCAATAAAGACACACTACGTGGTGCCAGTGTTTGGCGAAAATAATTAGCAGGATAAGTGGAGTGTGGCGATCCAGCATGCAGGGGGCTGAGGCAGGAGGATTGCTGCGAGTTCGGGGCCAGTCTGAGCTATATACATAGCGAGACCCAGTCTCAAAAAACAGTGTATGCAGAGGAGAAGAGGTCTGGTGGGTAGTGCACGGGGCAGAGCCTGCCCGAGGCAGCCCTAATCCCTTGCCTCCATCCCCAGCACTGAAAAACACAAGAGGCAGAGGAGGGAAAAAATAAGAAACAGAGAGAGGTTTGTTTTTCTGAAACATAATACCATGTAAGGAAATTGAACACACGGCATATTTTTCAAGGACACCAAACATCTAAAGCAGCCTCTGGAAGGTGGAGGACGGAATGATAGCCCATAGGGCAGAAAGCTGGGAGCGGCGGCATGGGGCTGTGGGCCCAGCTACTTGGAGGCTGAGGCGGGAGGATGCCTGTGGCCGGGAGTTCAGGGGCAGTGTGGGCAACAGAAACACCCTGTCTCAAGCACCAAGTATAAAGGTTAAAAAATAAATGGGCCAGGAGTGGAATCAGTGGTGGGGTACATGTGTGGGCTGAGACTGACACCCTATGACTGTAGGGGGGTGTCACACTTTTCTTTTTTCCCTTCCCTCTCTTCTGGGGACTGGTGATTGAACCCAGAGCCTTCGCCCTCGCCCTGAGCTACAGCCCCAAACCTATTGTTTTGAGACAGGGTCTCAATAAGCAAGTCGGGGTGGGCTGGAACTTGCCACCCTCCTGCCTCAGCCTCCCAGAGCGCTGGGATCCCAGGTGTGCTCTACCACACTCCACTTATTCGTTCAACATGACGATCGGTGGCTGATTCTCTCTTACAGAAGCACTGAACACAGTACGTACGTAGATTGAGTATGCACTTTCTTGGCATATTAAACTCATTCTCTAAAAGAAGGGAAATAAAGAACCCAGACAGAGTTGAGTGGACGAGGCCTGGGAAACGTGACAGACATGACAAGAGACCCTGTCTCAGAAGTTACAAAATAAAAAGGGCTGGGGGTGGAGCACACTGTGAAGGTCATACGTTCAACCCCAAGCCCCACAAAAATAAGCAAGCAGCCTTAGCTGAAGAGTTTTCACTAAGTGGAAGAGCAGCTCCTGGGATAGTCAAGTGGAAGATGGAGCCGATGTGCATTTTATTTCCTGTGGTGTTTGGGATGGAACCCAGGGCCCGGGGAGGGCTGGCACACTGAGCTGCTTACACCACTGGCCACTGGCCACGAGGAGCTGAAATCCACGGAAATCCCTCAGGCTCCTGGGGTCCTGGTTTCCTCACTGCATGGGGTGGGTCAAAATACTGCTCATGGGGCTGGGGAGATGGCTCAGTGGAATAAGCGCTTCCCTGGCAAGCGCAAGGGCCTGAGTTCAATCCCCAGTTCCACAAAAAAAAAAAAAAAAAAAAAAAAAAAATACTGCTCATCTCGCAGGGTCGCTAGGCATTGATAAATATTGAACTATCAAAAAAAAAAAAAAAGGCATCAGGGGCCAGGGAGACGGCTCAGTAGAATAAGTGCTTCCCTGGCAAGCACAAGGGTCTGAGTTCAATCCCTGGTTCCGCAAAAACAAACAAAAAAAAAGGCATCAAAGAAGTCACCTGGCATACCAGCATGCTTTTTTATTTGTTCATTTGAGACAGGCTCTTGCTATGCAGTTCAGACTGGTCAGAAACTCTCAAGGGATCCTCCTGCCTCAGCCTCAAGGGTGCTGAGACTGCAAGTGTGCACTACCACACTCAGCTCCGACGTGTTTAAAACCAAGATGGGGCTGGATCTGTAGCTCAGTAGCGGAACACACACCTAAAATCCATGAGGCCCTGGGTTCCATGCCAGCGCCACTCAGAAAAACAGTAAGTAGAACAGGGCTGACAGCAGTTGCCATCTGTTTTGTAGTCAGCCGTGAGAACACGTGTCATGGTTTTATGTATTAAACAAGTACGGAGCCAGGCACGGCACCATACAGCTGTAATCTCAGCTTTGCGGGACGGTGAGGCAGGAGAACTGCAAGGGAGCCCAGACTGGGCCACTTTGGATCAGAATTAAAAAAATAAAAAGGGCCCATGTGTCGCTCAGAGGTAGGACACTTGTGTGACGCACGTCAGGACAGCGTGACACGTGGGGGAGCACAGCGTACGCAGCGCTGGGTCTGTTCATCCCCCAGCTGCACAGGCTGGGCAGGCAGGACCTCTGGCTGGGGGCCAGAGCTGCACAGTGCATGTAGGGGTGCAGTGGGAACACAGGGTGGCAACCCGATATGGGGCCTCCCTGGCACCCTGGAGACCTGAGGGCTGGATGAGACACAGGGCCTCATCATTTCTTGAAACAGGGCTTTGCTATGTGGTTCAGGCTGGCCTTGAACTCACTATATCACCCTAGCTGCCCTTGAATTCCAAGTGACCCTCCTGCCTCAGCCTCCCCAGTCATAAGTCATGGGATGTCCAGCCGTCCCAAAACTTATTAGCAGAAGCACTGATTGAGCTCCTCCTGGGCGCAGGATTCATAATCTAGAGGGCCAAGTGGGGTGGGGGCGGCAGCGAGGTGATGTCCTCACCCGGGTCACACACGAGGAAGTGGAATTGGAACCGGGAGCCCTGGCCTGGCACGTGGCCCGTCTCCTCTGGCCCCTCCTTGGTCAAAGCCCTTAGCGCAGCACTCAGCAGGAGCAGCTGTCCTCGCCTCAGGATGAATCACGCCATGGCTTCTCCCAGGGCCCCAGAGCAGCAGTGGCGGTGCAGCTGGCTTCCTGTGTGCCCAGACTCTTTCCTGGCAGAAGGATCCACCACTTCCACTGGGGGCAATCCCTTCCTTTATGGGGCCCTTTACCCTCAGGACCCAAGGCGTGAGGGACATGGTTGCCGAGGCAGGTCTGTGAGGGTCTCACTAGGTGGTGCAGGCTGGCCCTGAACTCAAGGATCTTCCTGGCTCGGCTCTCCAAGCGCTGGGAGTGCACCGCCAGGTGTGGCCGCCCTGGGGTTCTCACTGGTGCTGTCTGAACTAAGGAGAAACGGTATGTCCTCTTCCCTCCACTGCACTAAGCTGGGACGCTACGATCTCCTTCCTCCACCTGCCTGGGACAGAAGCCTCCAGGCAGACAGGAGAAAACAGGAAAGGAACCGAAGGCATCTGACCACCTGGGTTGGCCTGGCCTGAAGCTGACACTTAACAATACAAACAACTCTTTTCCTTTCTCCACTTAAAAGTGCTCTGAGCTCATTCTTGCCACTTCCAGACTGACCTTTCACTCACAGCAGTTCTCCTGCCTCAGCCTCCCAGGTGTTGGGGGAGACGGGCGTGCACTGCCACGCTCACGTGCAGTGGTCCGGCTGGTAGAAGGCCAGGGCTGGGGCTGGACCTGCTGTCTGAGGGCCCAGGCCTAGCCATCGTAAGGGGAGAGGCCCCACACCCCATCCTCCCTGCTGTGGTCACCGACCTGTGGCTGCCTCGCAGCTCCGCTCCGTGATGCTGATTTTCTTGATGGCATGGACGTTGCTGGTGGATGCAGCAGGGACTGGGCACATGGTCTCCACCACCTCGTGGCTGCAGAACACTGCGGGGCTCCCGGCGTCCCCAGGTGTCACCAGGGCCCTCAGGCCTGCCCCGTAGGACTCTAGGCTCTGGGCTCGTTGAGCAGGCGCCCCAGTGGCAGTGCTGGCGGCCACTTCCACCTCCCGCGGCCCGTCTACCACGCGGACGGTGTCCACACGGACCGGAGTGTCCAGTGCTGGCCTGGCCTGGGCCGCCTGCAGGTCCTGCAGTGCTTTGTTGAGCTGCGTCTCCAGCACGGCCACCTTGGCGGCCAGGGCCGCCTCCCCATCAGGCAAGCCCAGGTCCCGTTCTCGTACCCAGGTGCCCACGCTGCGGGTGTTGAGCGCTGCGGGGTCCTCTAGGGGGTCCGGGAGGTCAAGGCAGAGCTCGTTGCGGGCCCGGGCGCCGGCGGGGTGACCTAAGAACTTCTGGCTTTTGAGCTGCACAGCGAGCTGCCGCTTCTCCTCCTGGAGCACAGACAGCTTCACCTGGAGCACGGGGATCAGCTTCACCTGCTCCTCCAGCTGCCTCAGCTTCCGCAGGGCACCTGCCATCTGTTCCCGCACGTGTGCCAGGTGCCCGGCGCTGGGTGGCACTGGCGTGGACAGCCCTGAGCCACGCGGCGTCACAGGTGGTGGCAGCCCCAAACCCACCAAGGAGCTGGTGGAGCCTGTGGCGCTGGGGGTCAGGGAGCCCAGGCCCGAGGGCATGGCTGCTTGGTCCTCCAGGCGGCGCCGGGCATCCAGCAGCGTCCGCTCCACGCGAGGGTTGAAGCCACCGGCACCACGGGTCTCCAGGGCGCCGTACTGTGGGTAGAAGCCGCGGCCACAGTAGGAGTAGGCCGAGTGGCGGCTGTCCCCACTCGCATTGGAGCACAGCGACTCTGTGGACGTCCACCAGGAGCCGGGGCCGCGGGGCAGCGAGCCCAGGCGGGGACGGCGCTGCATAGCGACCCTCCGCAGCGTGTGGCCCTTCTCGATGTCATCCACATACTTGAGAAAGTCCAGGTCCAGGCGGTAGCCGTAAGGTGTCTCCACAGAGTAAGGGGGGTCGGGCTCTTTGGCTGGAAAGGCGGGTGGTGAGGCAGGGCCCGGGGTCCCTGGGTTGGGGGAGAAAAGCCAGGGCTTCCAGATACCACTGTCCCCCTTCTTGGGGTGCAGAGGGGCCCCAGGGACAACTGTCTCCACCTTCAGATCCCCTCCTGTCTCCCCCAGGATCCCCTCCCTCATCAGACCCTCCTGTTGGGCTGCGTCCGAGTCCCCCAGGCCTGGGTCCTTCCTGCTCTCTGAAGTTAAGCTCCCTTCAGCAGAACTGCTTCCTGCTTCAGGTCCTCCGGGACAGAGCTGTACCCCCTCAGCCCCCAGCACTGGGCCCTGTCTTCCCCCTCATCTCCCTGGTCAGCCCCATGTCCCCCACAGGCCACCCCCTCTTCCAGCAAGACAGCCAAGTCCTCCTCCCAGGGCCAGGCCAGGTCCTCTCCTCCTCCCCCAGACCAGCAGGGCGCAGCTGTGCCCCCCCCTCGGAGCCCTGACCTGGGAACAGGGCCGGCGCATGCAGGACCTGGGCCATCCTCTCCTCTGTGGTCCGCAGGAGTCACCTGGGGGCCTGGGAATCACACTGCGGGAAGCACCAGCTGAGGCTGAGCTGGGGACAGGAGGTGATGGGACCAGAGTCAGGCGGCGTCTGCAGCAGCGTTGGGGGGACAGGAGGACCCTCCCCACAGTGCACACCCAGCCTGGCTGCTGAAAGGCCCGGAACAAAGAAACCAAGGCTCCCTGCCTGTGTGCACATCTGTCCAGCCGCTGGACAGGCTCCAGCTGTTCCCGAAGCCCTGCCTCCACATGGCCCCCGACTGGGGGCCCCAAGCCCGACAGCCCCACCCTTCCTGTACCCCCTTCCTGCAGCCCAGCCAGAATCAGCCACAGGGAAAGATGGGGGCCGGCTAGAGAGGAGGCTGGGGCACTTTCTACAAGGATCCGGGAAGATGGACACATAGGGGGAAAGAATGAAAAGACGGGGTCTGGGGTGGGGGGCAGAGACCCCTAAGTGACCCCAAAGCAGAGAGCTGGGTCAGGCCAGACCTGACAATGGGGGGGTAGGGTGGGGAAAGCCGGGAAGGCGGCAAGTTGCAAAGCCTTTCCCCTTTATGGAAACAATTTTCTCTAAAAATAAACAGTTTCGCTGCCACTACACAGCACTTCCTGCCCCCCCAGGATGCGTCCGGACTTGGGGGCGCAGCAGGGATACAGGGCTGGGGCGGAGGCCTGGGAAGTCATGGGTGGAGGAAGTAAGAGGGGTGCCCAGAGGTGCCAGGAGAGAGGGACAATCAGGGCCTCTCACTAAGGGCGCCTCCAGCCCTGGACATTGGCCAGGGTCCTTTGACCCCTGCGCCCGCCTGAACTCAGCCAGTCCCTTCCGCTGTCAGGCCCACAGCTGCCCTGCTGGAGGCACCGCTGCACACCCACCACCAAAGGGGACCCTTCCTGGCCCAGGGGTCCTGGGCAGTGGGGTACCTAGGAGGATGGGCCAGGCCAGGCCCTGGCGGGCATGAAGGCTGGGGCCGCTGCAGCTGAGCGTTCGTGGCCTTGTCCTCTCCTCCAGACTGGCTTCGTTTCTCTCTCTTCTCTCTACGCCTGTGTCTCTCTGTGTCTCTGTCTCTTCACATTCCTTCTCTTCGCTTCTCTTGTTTCTCTCTCCGTCTCTCCACCTCTCCAACCTGCCTTCACCAGCTGTCAACACCTGGAACAGGTACCAGGTCACTGACTAGGAAATCTGGGAGCCTCATTCCCCCCTCCAAGCAGCAGGAAATTGATCCAAAATGTTTTCTGGGGACCTAAGAGGGGTCCAAAGGCAGCAAGAGGAGGGGTTGGGGAGATGGCTCAGTGGAATAAGCGCTTCCCCGGTTCCCGCAAAAAGAAAAAAAAAATACATAAGAATACAAAGGCAGCAGGAGGAAAAAAACCCAGGGGGTGGCACTGGAGGTGGACCAAATAACATTAATAATAGCAGTTTTGACTTTTTTGTTTGTCTGTTTTTGCCAGTACTGGGAATTGTATCCAGAGGGGGGAGAAGTGCTCTACAACTGGACCACCTCCCTGACCCCTTTTTCATGCGTTACTTTGAGTCATGGCCTTTCTTGGTTGGTCAGGCCAGACTCAAAAGTTGGCATTCTCCTGCCTCAGCCTCCCCAAGCGCAGGGATTACAGACATGAGTCGCCACACCCAGCTTAATTGTTGTGACCACCTATGCAGCGGGTAGTCCTCAGCTTAGTTTTTTTTTTTTTTTTTTTTTTGGTGGAACTGGGGATTGAAATCAGGCCCTTGTGCTAGACGGAGAAGCACTTATTCCACTGAGCCATCTCCCCAGCCCCGTAGTTTTTTTTGTTTTTGCGGAACTGGGGATTGAACTCAGGCCCTGTGCTTGCAAGGGAAGTTCTTATTCCACTGAGCCATCTCCCCAGCCCTCCTCAGCTTAGTTTGTATTCGGGGACTCTATAAACGGGCACAAGATCAGCGACTTGCCCAGGGTCACGTGGGCAGTGAGGCAATGGCTACGCCTGGATTTGAGCTCAAGCTAGGCCACCACTGGCAGACATCATCCTCACCCATTTCTCGGATATGATGACCGAGACTTGGGGGTCTCTAGTCACGGACCACTCTCCATGCAGTGAGGTGAAGGGATAGTGTGGGTCCCTTTTTTGTAACAGGCTCCCGGGAGGGCACAGAGAAGACAGGGCACTCCAACAAGGGACAGGTAGAGGAGCTCAGGGAAGGGGTGCAAGGGCCTCCCCAAAGCGACTCTCCATTAGCTTGAGCATTTCTGTCGGGTTTTTGCCCCTCTCCTGCCCCCAGGACCCCGCCCCGTGCAGGGAGGAGGCCTGCAGGGTCCCGGCTAATGGTAAACAGCTGCCGCTCTCCTAGAGCCGGCCAGGGCAGCCAGGCAAGGCCCGGACGCTTTCCCACCGCCTGGGGGCTGGGGACAGAGCAAAGGGAGAAGACGGGGCAGACAGGAACAGAGGAGAGGGGCAGAGAGGGCCGGGATGGGAGACGTCGGCGGGGCACGAGTGAGGGGCCGGGGTGGGTGTTGGGGGAGGGGAACAGGGCCAGGGTCAGGCAAGGGGACCCCGCAGGAGCGCGGGGATCGTGGCGCTCCGAGTCCCCAAAGTTTGGGCAGAGTGTGGAGCTGCTGGGAGCGGTTCCCGTACACACGCGAGGTCGGGCTCAGGGTGGGAGGTGGGGAAGGGTGATGATCACAGGGAACGGCGAACCGGCCTCGAACCCCGACCCAGCCCCGGGTCCCACTCGCCTGGCGCGCTCCGGCCGCTGCAGTCCTTGTGTCCCGCAGCCCCTGCGTCCTCCGCGCCGCCGCCCGGCCTACCCGGCCCGGAGGCCCCGCCCCGCCAAAGGCCCCGCCCCGGCCACGCCCCCACCCTCGGGCGCCCCCCGGGCCCGGGGGTTCCTGCGCTAGGTGGGGGCGGGGCAATGCAGAGCCGGGGGTGAACTCGCGGTCACCTGGGCAGCAGGTGAGTGTGTGCACGTCTGAGTTGGTCCAATCTCGTCCCGTCCTCCCGCGGTCGCCACCTCGGCTCCCAGCGGCGGGATCCCCAGGCGCTAGCTTCTCCCACCGGCTGCCACCCGGCTGCCGGGGGTGGGGCCGCACGGGGCGTGGCTGCGCGGGGGGCGTGGCTGGCCGGAGTCCAGCGCGGGGAGGCGGGCAGGGAACTCGGTGGCGGCAGGTCACCCCTCCCCCCGGCGGCCACGGCTGGAAAGCCGCCCAGCGCCGGCCTGGTACACTGTGGCGTGACCGCTGCAGGGCGGGAAGGGAGCTACTTCAGCTCGACGCTGCACGGGCGGCAGCAGAGGCCTGGGCCACAGGAGCCAGGCAGATTTAGACCAGCCCCACATCATCCTTCGGGTCTTTTACTGTACCGAGTCTCAGTTTCTCCATCTGCTGAATGGGGCTATTTATGCCGTGTACCTGATAGAGAAACGGGCCGGGGAGATGGCTCAGTAAAATAAGCACTTCCCTGGCAAGCGCAAGGGCCTGATTTCAATTTTCAGTTCCGCAAAAAAAAAGAACAAATGCCTGATAGAGGCTCTGAAAAGATCCCCTAACCACTGAGGGGCCCAGTGGAGGGTCTCAGGTACAAAAGCCCATAAACTGGCTTGAGTGGTGTGTAGCCCATGCCTGTGATCCCAGCAATAGGGAGGCTGAGGCAAGAGAATCACTACCACTATAAGTTCGAGCCCATCATAAGTTTAAGGCCCAAACTACCCAACATAACCCTGTTTTGAAAAGCAAAACCTAGGATGGGGGAGACAATCCCTGGTACCACAAAAAAGAAAAAAACAAAACTAGACATCCTACATTTTTGGGGGAGGGGTGCTAGATACCTGGCCTGGGGTCCATTCTGCCACTGAGCTCTACCTCCACTCCAGGCTGTAGCCTACAATGCATAGTTCTGGAAACCACACAGTACAGGCTGAACACTGAATAATCACTTAATATTACTATTATTCCCAGCTGACATGAGTTATTTATGTTACCTTCCCCGCTAGAATATCAACCAACGTAGGCAGGGATCTGTCTGTTGTCACTAAATTGTTCTTGGATTCCCAATAGATTCCTGGATTTTGAGATAAATTCTCACTATTATAGTTCAGGCCAGTCTGGAACCCCCAGTGATCCTCCTGCCTCAGCCTCCGGAGTGCTGGGATGACAGGCGTGCGCCCCACCTCGGCTCCTTTGCCCCTCCAGGAGGTTCTCAGCATGTGGGTAGACTTGCGCTCACGGGGGCTTGGACTACACACATCACACAGGCTGTATGTAAAAACTGTTTTAAATTAAGAAAGGGAGGAGGTATCAGTGCACACAGAGGGCCCTGCCCCGAGCGAGGATGGCGTGGTCATCTGTAGCCGAGGCTGGCAGGAGTGGCTCTCAGCAGGGCAGACAGCCCTGCCTGGGTGCTGGTCCCTGGAATAGCTTTGGTCACCGTAGGCTCAGAGGTCTGCCTTGCGGAAACTTGCTCTGTTCAGAGAGTTCCTGGGGAGGGATGGGAGACTCAGCATGGCCAAATCCTCCGCAGCCCCCCACCCCGCCCCACATCCTCCCACAGGGAGGTCTAGAATGGCTCCCCCCACCCGCTTCAGATCCATCCTGATCTGGCTGGGAGACTGCCAGGTTATCTCAAAATTCACTATAGTGCTGGTAGCTCCTGCCCTGTTATCCCAGCACTCAGGAGGCTGAGGCAGGAGGATCTATGTGAGTTCGAAGCCAGACTGGGCCACTTACTGAGTTCAAGGCCAGCTAGATTACATGGAGAGATCCTGCCTCCAAAATAAATAAATACATAAATACATGTCTTGGCCCAGCTCCCCTTGTGCTCTCCAGGGTGGGGGACCCGGGGCAGCCACCTGAGGCCAGCGTGTGCCGGTGCCAGCAGCTGGGGCAGACGCTGGGTGAGCAGGGGCTGCAAGGCCTCCCGCAGGCGGCAGTAGTGGCGCTCCAGCTCCCGGTGGTACTCCTTCTGGTCCGGCCCGATCAGTGCCTTGTTCTTCCGCAGGGCATCCTCACACCTGTGGGGCAGGTGATGTGGGACACTCAGGGGCGGGCATGTAGCAGGGACAGCATGGTGGGAGGGACGGGGGTCTCCCAACCGACAGGGCACTCCCTGGAGACCAGGTGCGTAGAGAGGACAATGCGGGGTGGGTGGGGCAAGCCCCGGCTCTGCCCTGGCCTACTTCTTGCAGAAGTCTTTGAAACAGAGCCGCAGCTTGTTGTGATGGCGGAAGAGCTTGGGATCCTCGGGGATGTCTGCCAAGAACACCTGGGCCACCTCCAAGGGTCCCTGCAAGGGAGGGGCCTCGTGAGCACTGCGCGTGGCACCCAGAGTCCCCGGGGTGGCCAACGCGCCGCGCCAGCCGTGCCTGGTTCACTGTGGGCCCCACGGAGCCCTGCAACACCATCTGCAGCATCTTGCAATCGGGCGGCTCCTGCTCCGTGGCAAAGGCCAGCTCCCGCGTCTTCTTCTGCATATCCTCGATGGCCACCTCCACCGGGGTCAGCACCGTCTGCGGGGAGGTAGGGTGAGGTGGGGAGGAGGAATGTGGTGTCCTGACCCAGCCAGCCCAAGGACACTGTGCCCCCAGGGGAGGTGCCCCCCCTCTCCCAGCAAGGAACAAGCCCAGGGGAGGTGTTTTTTTTTTTTTTTTTTTTGAGACAGGGTCTTGCTATATAGTCCGGGCTGCTCTCCCTCCCGCAGCGATCCTCCTTCCTCAGCGTCGCCCCGCCCACCTCCTCGCGGTGGCACACGCGGATCCGCGTCTTGATGTAGGGGAAGGCGTGCTCGGTGCTCAGCAGCGTCTTGCGCTTGTGCTGCTCCTGCAGCTCGCCGTGCGCGCGGCCGTCGGGCGTGAAGGGCGTGCAGAAGAGGAAGGTGCGCAGCCCGTAGTTGCGGTCGAAGTAGGTCACGCGGTCCTTGAGCTCGTAGGTGTCGAAGTGGGGCTCAACGTAGGTGATCTGGATGTAGGCCTGCGGCGTGAGGCAGGCATGGGGCATGAAGGCCCCCTCCCAGTCAAAGAGGTCCTGGGCCTTGGGGCTTTT